CTTGATACCTGAGACTGTTTTGGAAGGACTCTGTGCTCTGCTTCACATATCTCAATGAATAAAGGAACAAATAGATTTGTAGAATGGAATTACTCATTCTGGCTAGAAGGTTATTTCTCGATCCAGCCGTTGTCTTTCTGCTTTGTTTTTTTCACCTCCTTGGCTTTTGGAAATTTTACCTGTCATTGTCTCTCCTACCTGCTTTATATGTTTGGAATGCAAATATCTTAATAATTTAGGGTTAATATTTATAAAATAGCTTAGGGATTCTGAAGTCCTGGTTACCTCTGCAAAGCTACTGCTTGACTAGATCAGATTTTTGTTCCTCTCCAAATTGAAAGCAGTAGTGATCTATTTAGCCTTCTCCTGTTCAGTCCTGTGTGGTGGTAAAATCCAATGCTGCTTTTTACTAGAGCCGCTTGAATTTAATAGAGAATTCTCCTATGCCTTTTGTTTTAAAATCTCTTCTCTTTCCTTTCACTCCTTTTCCCCAAAAAGAATTGAGCATAATGAAGCAGGAAGAATTTGAAGGTGGTCTTGATCAGCTTAGCTATTCTCAGAAGGACACCTGAGGAGCTGAAGCTCCTTGTCTTGTGCAGGTTTGGCTAATTCTTCCTGTGTCTTCCTTGTGGATACTTGAATACGGAATGGCCGGCTTAAATTCCACCTATTAATCTTATCTTTAGCAGCTAAAAATGGAGAAGGTAGCTGTGAATACACAGGCATGAGGAAGGGAGAAGCAAGCATGTTATCCTTGCCTTAAGCTTTATTGAGGAATTTGGCTCTTGAACACAAGAGGGGGGAAAAAAGCAATTTTTACGTGAGTCTAATGTGTTAAGCTGTGTTACTCTCTAGTCTGTTAAATATAAACTTGGTTTATGGCAGAGATCCTTCAACTTTGTCCAAGCTGTCAAACTCTATCGTAGCAAGTTGAAAACAAAATGCTTCAGTTTGATGTGTTTTAAGAGAGAAAGTCTGAGCTTCACTTGGATTCAGCCTTGTTATGTCCAGAACGTGGTGGATCTCTAGTGTTAGTCTGAGGCTAATATGATAAATCAAACAGTTCTAGAACTAATTGTGTGGGAGGGGAGTTTTGGAGCAGTGCTATAAAGCATAAATGAAGCTTGGTGTTTGCGTTGTGAAGATGAACATAGGGTTGCTCACATCTGCCGTGCAGTTGTGTGCAATTAAAATCTAGTAAAAACTGTTTCATGGTCTTGGTCTTAACAAGTTTTTCTTGATCTGATCTTTTAAGTTCTTTCTGTGGTAAGATGTGGCTTCTAAGTGTTAGCTTTGCTATAATGTGGTGTTGTGATGTGGAGGCTGTTAGTATAATTATAAACTAAGTAATGCATTTTGTGGAAAAAAGTGGAAATTAAAAGTAACAGATTGGCAAGTGCTGGTTAGTTTGTCTTTGCTGAGAGAGGATTAGTGATTAAACATTAAAAAAAAAAAGCTAAAATATGAATCAGTACTTGCAAGTTTTCATGTATTTGGAATAACAGAGTCTTTGACTGTTTCTACAAGTAATGAGCAGAAAACCTCCACTTCCAGGATTGTCCAGCTTCCGGGCAAGTGTTGACTTTTGTCCTGTAGCAATAAACAATGAGTGTGTTAAATTGCAGAAGTATCTGGTAGGACACCTGTGCTTTATGCCCTCAAGAAAGAGGCTTTGTGCAGCAGGGAACTGTGGGGTTTTTTGCTGTTTTTTTCTGTTTGTTTGTTTTCTTATGTGGTCAGTTCTTTCATTTCATGGTTGAGCTAGAGGGAAATCTCTGCTGCTTTTCTGTTGCTCCCCAAATGACAAATTGCTCAGAGCAGAACCAAGGGCAGTGACAGTTCAGTGTCACGGCAAAGCTAGATGAGGCTGCCCCTGCTTCGTACTGCCCAGGATGGGCTTCTGGAGCAGCGCTTAGGTGCTTACAGCAGGCCTGGTGCCCTGCACAGACGTGCCGGGCCCGTGTGCCAGTGCTGGGGCTGGGTGGAAGGCCACCACATTGCCCGTGTGACAGGGCTGCATGGACAGCTCTCCTCTTTGACAGGAGGAGAGGGATCTCTATCGGAGTCAAATCAGGAGGTACTGCAGCCAAAATCATTGGGACACTCGTGTTATCTGTCATCTTCTGTACTCTGTCATCTTCTACCACGTGCTCCAGGGAAGGAGTCTCCTGGCTGCAAAACTGCTAGCTCTAGTTGTGGTTTCTCTCGAGTGCCTTAACTGGGATGCTTTTGGAGCAGGTCTGTTTGGTTGTGTTTGTAATCAAAATGCTGCATCTCTTGCTTGTTTGGGGCTGGGTATCCTATGAGAAGACTTTCCCTAATTCCTGCAGCTCAAAGCAAGTATTTTTGCATGTTGTGGACTCCTGTTTTTGCTCCTCCTGGAAGCAAGTGGAGGAGCGTGTGGTGTTCTGAGGCTGCTCCGTTGACTTCTAGTCTCCTGGTCTCTTGTTATTTGATATATCCGTTTGGCTGTAAGGAGGAAGTTGGGGCAGTTGTCCCTCAGTCAGGTACCTCCCCTCTGGGTGCAATTCAGCTGCACACTGGCCCGTTTCAAGAGAATAATCATGGCACATCCTCGCCAAGTGCTGCTGCCGATCCCGGCTTGAAGGGGGATGCAGTGCTTCCTTCCCAAGCTCTGAGGGAAACTGTGTCCCAGCCACACCAAATAACTTACAAATGAGGATTGTTTTGGTAGGAGTACTGTGAAAAGGGAGGCATGTGTTTTTGCATTTATTTTTTTCCTCCCTGCCCCAGCTCTAAAGCACTGCTCATTTTTTGCCATCCTCACTGGCCTCATCTCTCTCTTGGCTTGGAGTCCGCCTGAGACAGTGATAACATTTGACGAATGCTTGCCTGCCTCTTCAACCCAAACACCTTCTAAGCTGAGGAGGAGGTGATAACTTTCAAGCACTGCTCATTTTTCACCCCCTCGTAGCATTTCAAGACCTTTTTCACCCGATGATTGTTTCATATGCAGTTTAAGCATGTCTAAAACGCCTAGTTTGCTTATCCAGAGTATGTGTAGTAATCTTTGGCTTTTTCTCTTGTAAACAATACATATAGTATAAGGAATGCGGGTTCCCCTCATGGGAGCAAAGCAAAACAAAATCCCTCAGGCTGTGTTTGCTTTCGTCAACTCTGAATAGATAAATTAGTTTACAAACACTAGGATGTAGCAAAATGAATTCTGGGCTGCTCTTGGGTCAGAGCTGGCTCCAACAGAAGAGGCTGGTGTTTTCTAGCTGGTCATTCAGTGTCGTCCATGTACGCCAAGGACTTGAGCTTTTTCTTAATCATCCTAGATAACTTCAAATGAACCTCATGCTGGTAATGCTTTCTCTTCCAGATGGAAAACTAAAAAGTTGATCCAAACTTTTGCTGCCTATTTTTAACTTTAGTAAACCAGACTTTTTCTTGAACTTGGATTCAAGTAATCCTAGTCCAGTTGGCTCTTCAAATGCAGCTTTAGTGCTCCCACTTTGTGTATTTTTTTCTTGCTGCTGCATAGCAGTGGATAGAGCAGAAGCAGCGTGACCCAGCAGAGCAGCTGTTTTCAGGGCATCTTAATAGAAACCTTTTCTTTTGTTTTCCTGGGAGTTAGAGATGGCTGTAAGCTGCAATACAAAAAAAAGACTTGATTTTTCTACAGTGTTTTTGATGCAAGTAGCGCACTAACACACGCACAAATAGCTCTTTGTAGCTGAAATACAAAAAGATGGGTTATGCAAGATAGCCTGTGTTTCCCCAGTTAGTGGCTAGTATGTCTTTGTAACATTACACAAAAATAATCTACTTTATGGGGAAAAGAAGAAAAAATTGCAAAATAAATTTGCTTTGAGATGGCTTTTCTTAAGGCAGTGGGAAAGCTTGCTTACAACTGATTGATCCTTTAGGTTGCTAAGGATACATTTTGGGGTTGAAAGTCACTTGCATGTTTTTATATTCTGCACGGAAAGAGATAATGAAATAATCTTCTGCCTTTCCAGATTGTCCAGAAGCAAACACAGGTTTTGAAAGCGGTTTCTTACACACAGCTTCAGGCATCACTTGTGACCTCTTATTTACTGTAATCCTGGGAATTGGCTCTGTTACCCTGGCACATTTTCGATGCTGTTTAATTGCGGTCAAGCTGTAATCTGCTTGGTGGGAGGATGCAGTGAATGTGAAACCTAGTAATAATCTTGTAATCAGTTTTACGTTGTTTGGAAAATGTTAAATCATGGTTTAGAGTCATGTTTTTTGAATTTGTAACTGGAATGGGGCATCTCTTTGCTTTCAGCTGGCTAGACCTTTACAGACGGGAAAACAAATGTCATTAGGAGTAGCAAAATTGAGTCCTGCTTTTACCTATTCTTGAATCCCAATTGGCAGAAGTCACTCCATCTCTTAAACAGATGTGATTTGCTCCGTGATTGTCACAGTACTGAAAAATACCCAGTTTCTGGAATAAAGCAATATTCTTTCTTACTTGAGTGTGGAATTTGCCACTGATACTAGTAATTGCAGTTGCTGATGTTTACTAGGGTGCATGATAGAAAATAGCATGTTTCCAGAATAAACCTATTTTCTCACTTACCTGGGTGGAGACGCTGCCACCAATGCTAGTAATTGCAGGCATTGACATTTAGTGTGTTGAGCAACCCAAGGTGGCTTTTGTAGAACAAAAATTGTATAATGCTGTATGGGAAGCAACTGACTTGTGAGCAGAGTAGGAGAGGAGGGTTTTCCATAGTGCAGAAGGATTGTAATTAGCTTTTAGTCTTGTTAATGCCCATGGAGATAATGCATATGGATTTACTGTAGAGAGCATACCCATTCTGTAGTACGGTTGTTTCCAGGATTCTTGAATTTATACAACTTGCCAAGCTCCAAGCATGCTGAGTGTTTGAATATCAATCTTAAGCTTGAATGCAGTTTGTGATTTTAGGTACATACAATTTTGGGGACAGCTGGCCGTTAAATAGCATTGTACTGACTCTGAATATTGTTTGCTTTTACAGATGCCTTTGTAAATAGCCAGGAATGGACACTAAGCCGATCTGTACCAGAGCTCAAAGTGGTGAGTCTATATTGACTTCTGTCTCTGAAAAACCTTCTCAAGATGTTATGTACAAATATGAAAACCTTCTGAGGTTTGCTCAGCTTGGAGGGAGGCAGGAAATGTAGAATGTGATTTTTCAAAAAGCAAAATAGTTTATTTCAAGAAAACTCTGTATGAAGTTTTTGCATCTTTTTATTGTCAAAAACTTGCTTCAAAGGACTACTTTTGTGTTTTATTTCTGTTTCAACTTGTTTGCTTAGTTGAGGCAGCTTCTCAGCCCACTCGGAGTAGAGTGATCTTACACTATTTACAGGGTAAATTGGCAGATGATCTCTAAAGCTAAATATAATATCTAAAGCTCCTTTTAACTCCCTGTAGTAATTTTCACTATTTCTTCAAGGGCTAAAAACCTTTTGTCCATGTTTTTTTTTTTTTTAAAAAAAAAACTGAAACTGAAGTAAATGTTCTGTCTGGGGAAGTTCTTTGCATTTTTTTTTTTTTATCTCAGGATTTTTGTTGGCATGCTGAATAAAAATGGGGCATTTGGAAGTCCAGTTGAGCCACTCAGGAAACTACATTTTAGTATAATAACTAAATGACTTAACAATTGCTTACACAAGCTCTTCCTTGTCCAAAGTGTTCATGTATAAACAGAAGAAAAGTCAAAAGGACTTCGGAGGTAGCATTGAGGACATTTCCTGAAGTTGTCATTTTAAAAATCATCAACCGAGTCTGGTAATGGGGGCTGAAACTTCTTAGTAGGGGTTATTAAACAGGCAGCCTGTCAAGTCAGCAGCCCAAAGTTGCTGAGATCAGATTGTTCACCATATGGAAGTCCACGTTTCATTGCATAGTTTCTGAAAATCTGTGAAAAACCTATAGCATCCAAGATGCTGAACTGGGGCAGACATCATCGGATTGCAGATCATCATCTTCTTAAATCGCTTCTGTTGTCCTACCGCAGCTGTAAGAGCTGCTCTGACTCGAGCATCCATTCCTCACATGAGTGGCCAAGTGAATTGGACCAAACCACGGCAATTTAAGAAACAGACAGCTGAGGCCATGCTTCATTAATCCAGTTTTCATGTGGTAAATTTCCATTTTTTTCCCAAATCTGAGTTGATTATAGTGTTTAAGGAGATGAGAGAAAGCACAGGTCAAGTTTAGCATGACGTGCTTATTACAATGGCGTTTAAATTGAAACAGCTTTCTGATAGCTTAAGTTCTGCTTCTGTTCAACTTGTAGCAGTGCACAAGGTGAGTAGAAAAGAAATAGAGTAGTCCATGGATAGAGCTACATGACACAGGAGTGGCTTGACTTAATTTAGCTGATGGTGTCAATTGGAAGAGGTATCTGCGGTAAGTGTGTTATACAAGCAAATACTAGGAACGTAGGACTTAGAGGGTACTGGCTGCATACGGGCCACAGGAGTGGTGGGAGTCTGTGGAGGGTTCTCCTCATCCTGGCCCCTTCCTCAGAATGCCAAGCGCAGCACCCAGTGATAAACTGAAGTCTTGCAGATGAGAGCAAAGCTGCAACTTGTGTGTCATAATACACACAACAAACTAGTGCAGAGCATTAGAGAAAACTGCCAAAGATGTTGGGATGCCAAGGCTGCATGATGTGGATACTTGTCTTAGGCATCCTGCCCTCCTACTGTGTGAGCCAGTGGTGTGAACGTAAACTTCTGAGCAGCTGCTGTAGAGAATTGATTTTAAGCGGTCAGCATGCATGAGCCTCAAGCTTGCTGTCCAAGGCTTCAATTTAGACTCCTGGATGAAAGCAGAGGACTTACCGTTACAAAGCTATTAATTTGATCATACCCCTGCAAATTACTGAAACTAGTGGTGCCAGCTGTGGCCATGAACTTGTGCTCCAGCAGGGTGGACGGATGGACTCAATTGGAAATCTGCTTTTTTGTTCTCCGTGTGCAGAGGGGTCGGTGGAAGAGCTCAGGACATTTGCTGGCATGCTGAATAAAAATGGGGCATTTGGAAGTCCAATTGAGCCACTCAGAAACTCCATTCTAGTATAAGAATTAAGTGGCTTAACAGTTGCCTTTTGCCTCTGCCCAAGGAAGTGAAGGGCAATATTAAATGCCAAACCTGTCTCCAGAGCGCTATCATTATGTTCACCACTAAGGGTAACTGGGTGCATTGCTTCAGCTTGTAGCTGTGTTGAGGATGTTGTTTTGGGCAGAATGGAAGTAGGAGGGTTTTTCTCTGTCACTGTTAAGTGCAGTAGCGGAGATGGAGGCTTAATGATGCAAGATGATGCCTAATGGTGCAAGTTTATGAAACTGCCCCTCTTCTGGCTGCTGGAGTGGACTGTGCTCTGTAGAAAAAGATGGTTAGTAGCTTCGTGGGATAAACTGTCTTCTCCCTAGAATCTGGCCAGCATTTACGTTGAAGATAGTATTTCATTTTCATGGTGGCTATTCCTATACCTTTATGATTTACTGAAGTTTAAGGAGAGAACAAACAAAATACTTAAGGCTGCAGTGAAAAAATAAAACAATGGATATATTTTAAGAGAATATTATTCCTTTCCTCTGATTATTTTTTAGAAATACATGCTGGCTTGATTTATTTGACATTTTCAGAAGCGTATGCTTTTCTTTTGGTTAAATTCTACCTCTGGAAAGTGCTTCACTTACCAAGACTTATATTATGGTCAAGAGTGTGCTAGGCCAGCTGGGGGAGAGCAGCTTCTTGGGTCACTTGAAGAGCTGTGCATGTCATGCTGATGGCTGTGATACTTCCATCTCTAATTCTGGTGCATTTGTCAGTGAGATAGTTTCCCAATTTAGATCCATATCTTGGTGCTCCTGTTCCTAAGCAGGAAAACAGCTAGTTCTTTTTTTCTACTTTTCCTAGTAAACCCATGTGAAGTTTGCTTGTCTTCTAACTTTCAGAAATTACGGTGCTCAAAGGACCTTAGCCTGGTCACAGACTATTTATCTATAGAGGAGACAACATAAGTGGTGTGTTTAATCTACTGATTTAGAGATGAGGTTTTCAGTTTCCTTGCCTTTTTTGGTCTAGGCTATCACAATATCCAGCTACAGAGGAGGAGCTTGCCTGGGAATGTGAGGTTCTACTGCTAGTGAGGAGTGACCCTCCATGCATTTAAGGAGTATACCATATTGCTAGGGTTGCCACAGAAGATTACAGGCGACTAGCAAGCAGTTAAGTAGATGTCTTTGAAAATTGGAGGTTCTATAGAAATAAACTCAGAATTTATGGCTTACTTGCTGGATAAAAAGAGAGATGAAAAGCCCTTGCTCTTATTTGTTGTAATTTTGTTCATATTTTATTTTATTTTATTTTTTTTTGCCTAGGAACATTAGCCTGTTAAATGAAGTTTAACGTTTTAGGTAGGTGGGCATGAGTAGTTATGAGTATACAAACTTACTTGGGTTTGCTGGCACACAGTGGAGGGAGAATTTATTGACTGAAGAGGTTACTTGGTGAGGCATTTCTTGCAGCTCAGCCAGAGAGAAAGTGGGCGTCCATCACTGCCTTGGTGCTCTCCGATTGCAGTGTGCTTCCCTTTTAAAGACTGAGTCATCCTCCCTTAACCCAGTATTTTAACTCTCAGCTCATTGGTTTAAGCAATTTTTAATAAGAAAGTTAGCTCATGTCAGCATTTAAGATTAAGAAAATGAACCAATGTGTGCATTAGTGTGTAACTTGCACATGCTACATCTCTCCCTTTGGCAAGCTAGGGACAAGCTGTCTGCTGATTTACCTAACTCATGGGGAGCTTTTTTCTCAACTGTTTTGGTTAGGATCAAGACAGATCTGTAGAAGAAGGGTCAGCTGAGTTGTGTGTAAAAGGAGAAATAAATACAGTTCTCATTTCCCTCAAAAGCAGGATCTCAACTCTGTTGCACAGGAAAATCTGAATTGACAAATGATAACCAAGCAAGGAAAAAAAGCATTTATTTAAAGCATGGATAAGGAATGATCTCTAACTCCTACCCTCAAATGTGCAGATCAGGGCTGATGTTGAGATCTTGGATCTTGCTGCATATGTCAGTCTAGCTTTGGTTGATGGTTGGCCCAGGAACAAATCAGCAGGGATAGCATCATTCAGGAACACAAGACCATGGGAAGTGATGGCTTGTTACTGTGGGAATAATTCTGCCAGACTTGCTCATCAGCTCCCACCCTTCAAAAATAGCACATAACATAAAATCAGCAAACCTTGGAGTTATGGGCATTTGAGCACCTCTGAGAAGAAAATTCTTGTGGTACTGAGCTATCTTTTCTGCCTTTCTTGAAAAGAAATACTTAATGAAACAGCTTAATAGAGAAAGATCATGTATGTTTGAAGTCTCTTTGCTTATACCTGATTGCAATGTTCATGTAATGTTCATGATGCAGATGTCTTGGCATGGAGGACAGGCAGGGAGTTTGGAGCTCATTGCGTAGCCAACTGGTCAAGTAAGAGACTAACAAGCTGTAACGAACATGCCAAAATCTGTGTTTGTGTGGGCACATCTATCAAATGTATGCCTAGAGGGTCCGTGTGAATCACAAGAGGAATGCTATGCAGAGATATTTTAAAATATTAAGATGTACTGTTGCATTTATTTGAGTGCATTTTCCGGTTAGTAGATGGTAAGGCTGCTCTGACCTTGAGTTTTCCACTGTGAAGCCTACATCTTGCCCAATGTTCTCAATTAACACAGGTAGTGAGATGAAAAAAGGAATTCTGCCAACATAAGCTGATCTTGGCTTATTTGTGTTGTCATGTATATTCTTTTCTTATGTAGTATCGTTTTTAAACAAGTACTTTTGTTTGCTTACATATTTTGAGTTTTTTCTCCTGTCTTGGATTCTTCCTTCAAGTGCAGAGAAGGCATGCTCTAATCGTGTCAAATTTTTGCCTGCAAATGCTGCTTTTGGGTGATTTTTTTTTTCTTTTTTCAGGGGATTGTGGGTAATCTAGCAAGCGGCAAGTCTGCCCTCGTACACCGGTATCTGACTGGCACATATGTCCAGGAGGAGTCACCTGAAGGTATGTGCATGTGCAAATTGTTAACAGCATGCTGATTCTACTGTTTTTTTCCTAGACTGAATCCTGATTTGTTCTTTATCATGCAGAAATGAATTTGTAAAGGATCGGTTTTGCTTTTTCACTATATGAATAGAGAACTGTATTTTTTTTTTAATGATCTCCAAATTGGAGATAAGTATAGGCAAAGAGTATGACTTTTCCATAACCACTTAGCACCCTTAAATGCTTTCCAATCCATTATATACCCATGCGGGAAGCTTCCCTAGTCATGTATTGAGAAGTTACTGCCTCAGGTAGTGTCGATACTGAAAGGGCTTGTTGCATCTTGCGCTGGGTTTTTGTAGTATTGGACCCTTTGTTTTGTGATGCTTCATTTTGTTTTTGTTCAGACCCAGGAGCCTGAGCTAGATTTAAATTGCTCCTTGTTTACTTAAAAAAAAATGAATAAATAAAAAAAATGGTTTTGCATTTTTTAAAAACAATGTTTTTATGCCACAGAGAAGTTAATTTGTACCTGAAAAGATTGCAGCTTAACTGTAATCCAAGCTCATAACTTAAACCAAAATCCTAGAACCTTACTGAGGTTTATCTTACATGAAATACTTTCTTGATTTATTTTATTTGTTCTCCTTATGAACTTCTAAATCCAATTCTGAGACACTGAATTTCTGGTTCCTTCTTTTCCTTACTGGCTGTTCCATTCTTTGCAGATATGGATGCAGGTAATTATACATTCTCCTCATGGCAGCTCTTGTTTTGAAGAGACAGAAGGCACAGTTTTTGTACTTTAGCGTTTTTCCCTTGTTCTGTGTATCATCTTGATTTGTTTCCTTTTGATTTCAAGTCTTTAGTACATCTCACTGTTTTTGTCCCTTGCTGTAGCTGTCTTTTCTTCAGTAGTATGTAGCTTCATATGTCTATGGTAACATTTGTTTCAAATTAACTCTTACCAAAGGAAGCCATTAAGCATAAAATCTGACGTTTTAACATTTTTTAAACTAAAATGGGAGGAGAGGGAAAGGGATGAAAAAGGCTGTTAAAATGTAATTGCAGTAGCTGTGAAGTCCTCCAGTCAACACCCTCAAGCTAAAAGCTCTTGCTCTTAACTGGGACTGTGGGCAATATCTGAGGCTACTGACAACTGCTTCTTAGTTTGACTATTTGGTGTAGAACAATAATTTGCTCATCTGAAGGAGAAGGTGGTAGATCATGTTATTTATTGCCTGCTGCTTCTCTGTGCTGTTAGCAAGAAATAAAAACACAGTATGCATATCAACTGAATGCAACAAGTCCTAAGAAAAAATAATCCGCATCTCTCCTGATCTTTTCCCCCTCATCTCATCAACTGAAAATATTTTGTTTTTGTTTGTGAGACCTGAATGTCTTGGTTATTCTCAGTTAACAGTACTCTTCTGCTACACTATGAATATTTTACATGGTGCTCCTTGGGAGTGTTGCCATCTGTCCTTTTTGTCTTCAAGATTTTTTATTTACAGTACTTGAGTGACATTAAGACTGTTTATCCTGGAAGAATTAGGTTACCAAAGCAGTGTCAATCATTTCTTTGCACATAAGTGTAGCTGACAAGCTTCACTAATGATACCATTCCTGTTCATTATTAGTAGAAAAACTGAAATAATTAAGTGCTCTAATTCACCTTGTAAGGGATAGGGGTCAAGGTTTCTAATCAAGTTAGCAGGAAACAAATGCATTTCATAACACATACATAGTTTATCCTGAGTAAATATTCATAGATATTATTTGTGTTTTCTTTCTGTACCCTGTTGTTTTATAGAAACCAAGACACCAATGTAGCAGGTTCTGATGCATTGAAGTGTGGACCTTGTGATTTGGCCTTCTCCATGGCACTGTAGCTGTCCAAACACAACATATGTGTTTGAAACGAGTGTCAATCTTCCTTTTGTCCTTTTCGAGGTCTTGAAAATGTGCAGGTTTAAGTTGGATAGAGTAATATGTATGCTAGATTTTGAGGTTTCAGATGCTTGCGTAGTTTAGGAAGAAATGTTGACTGATGTTGGCTTACTATCAGCACAACGTCTTGGTTGGTATTTGACTGGCATCAAATAATCAGTGTCTAATTGTGAGGTGATTGGTGTGTCCTTCATGTAAGGACGGTGCCTGCAAGCAGAGGCTGCTGCCGCTGCTATCCCCTCCCTTCTAAATGGCTGCTGCTACCACGATGGCTGCCCTGAGCTGCACAAGTGCCAGATCTCCCTTCAGGCCTTTAAGGTACCGTCAGCGTGCCAGGAAATGAATCTTAACTATATACAGATGGTTTCATGTTTCCTTCAGCTCTTTTCTTTAACACAAGACAAGACGACTGCTCCTTCTGCATCCCATGCCAGCCCCCACGATGAGGAATTGTTTAACACCCAAGTGTAGAACGGTTTTTCTTCATGCTTGTTTTGATGGACTTTTATTTCTGGTCATAATGATTTTTTCTTGCTAATTACTTATTATCTTCAGACTCTAGTAATGTTGAAATGTGAAAACTTATTTTCTCTAGTAATGTTGTAAATGTGAAAACTTATTTTCTCTTAATATGAGAGAAATTACACAGGTAGAGAAAATGCATTTTTAGACTCTTTGCCTGTCTGACATGCATGTAGCTTTGCTGCTGTAGAATACATTATTAAATTGGATGTACTTTGATGTACAGAAAGACTTGGATATATTGCCCTAAAACAACCTGAATTCTTGGTTGCAGGACTTGCACTTTTACTATAACAATGCTAGAAAGCAATTTAAAATAGAATACACACGAAAGATCACAAATTGCCCTAGTCAACCTCCCAAGCAAACAGAAGAAAAATAGTTACTAAGCAGTCACTGGTGTGCCTTGTTTTGGGGGTTTTCTTTTGAATGTAGCTGAAAGAAATGTAGCAAAGCCTCAAATGAGTTTGCATGCAACCTGGTGTGTTTTTCATCCATCTAAAATTCAGTTCTGCCTCCAGGGACATGGTGAAATGTGATGTGGGGGGAATTTGAGTACTTTGTAGACCAAGGTGAATTAAACTTCACAACAGTAGTGAGTTGCAGGGCTTTTTGATGTTTTAGAAGCACGGAGGCCTGAATTAACATGATCATGAATTAAAGGCCTTGGCACACCTCTCTACTATGTCCATGAAGACCCTAATGGATGTAGTCATTATTTCAATTTATTTTTTTTGTCTGTGAGGATGTGTTTTTTTTGTGTGTATTTGGGTGTTTTTGTGTGTGTGTGTGGTTTTTTTTTTTTTTTTTTTTCCTGCTAGTTCTGATATGTAGTGGCAATCTTCTGTTTTTATGTAGGCTAATGGTTTGGGTTATTCTATTCTGTGTCCTAAAAGAATATAAGCATCATCTACTCAATTCTTTCAGCTGACTTCTTCCAGGGAAAAACATGTGGTGTTTCAGTTGCTGGGCACTGTGATGAAGGCAAAAATGTTGTTTGTTCTCCTGAACCAAAGCAAAATACGAATCGTCTTTATGTTAGATTATGTGTTTAGACAAGCAAGCCAGGATGCGAATGCCATGTTTTGACGTTGTCTTTTTACCTTCAAGTGCTGGGAGATGAAATAGTGAAATGGGGATCACAATCCAGTGTTAAATAGATCATGGGAGCTACTGCAGAATTTGATAATCTTTTCCTTTTGTAACAGACTGTTTCTTTCCTTTTCTTCCTGCAATTCCTATGTAAGAGAGATTTAATTATTCCTTCTGCTGCCAATTAGGTTCCTAAAGTTATAAATGCTTTTTCGCTATTTTTAGCTGGTTAAAGCTTTTCAAAGCTGTCGGAACAGGGGAAGGGCTAGAAGTTGTTTTTACTAGCCATCCAAATTTTATCTTTTATGAGTTAAAGGAAAAGATCTCTTTGTTCCCAGCAAACTGTTCTATTCTCTGAGCGATTCAGCTGAAGCTTAAGAAAATTGGGGCAAAATTTGTTCTCTGAGTATATATTTAGATGCTTTTTCTTAGAAACTTCACTCCTTTTTCACCTGTGCTATTCTGGAATTTCATAAAATTATTATCAAACATGCAAGGCTTTGCATGTGGCTTGTAGAGTGAGACTTTTCAAGAATTGCAGGCGCACATTAGTTTAAAATAGCAACATGGACCTACCAACCCAGTTCCTCTAAATAAGCTGGATATCACCGCCATCAAAACGCTCGGGCTGAAGTCTCCTCCTGGATTCAAACCCGTGGTTTAGCATTTCACAAGTTTCCTGCAGTTCTGGGCAGCTGAGAACATTTTCATCTGCGAAACCTAAATAGCTCTTGGGCATGGAAGACAGCTATGACTTTAGACATATGTGTTTCAAAATCTTCTAGTTCCTTGTCTTTCACTTGACTAGAATAGCAGCACTGGCCGTTTTCTTATTTTGTTAAGTTGTCACTTCAAACTGATCTGCAGCTATGAAAGAAAACCCTTGTCTCTTTTTTTTCTCTGATCAGTAGAGCTGCGGCTGGTTCTCCTGGGTTTTTAGAGCCTTTCAGATTTAGCATAAAAGTGTTTGTGTTCTCCAGTCCCCAGCCTTCCCCTCTCTCCTTTCCCCTTCCTCTCATCCCCCCGAGACGAGCAGTGCGGTTTAGAGGATCCTTTGAAAACGGCTCTGTTGCAGCAGTCAAGCTGGCTGCTGTTTAAAGTGTTGCGCAAATAAGGAACTATGATAATTAAAGGAAGAAGTTAGGATTTGCTCTTTCCTGGGGAGAAGATGCTGAAGAAGCAGTTTCCTGGATGGGACTTCCCTTTTAGGTTGTACGCCTTGAGGGTAGAATGATCTGACTGAACGTCTTGAATGCAATGAAGCTCAATTACTCAAAGGTTTTCAAGACTAATGTCTGTAGGATTTGTGCCCATCTAACAGGCTCCTCTGAAGATTTCCTACCAGATAAAACCTGCAAATTAGATTTATACCTGTTATTATATCTTTAGGCTCTTAATGGTCTTAAAGATGATTCCTGACTCTCCAGTGTGCTTTGATTGCTGGTGCTGTTGAGTCAAGTCATTCTGGAGTGATGGTTGACTGAAGAAGGTGGGCCTTCCCTCTTGGTGCTAGATTTTACTATTGAATATGTTTTCAGGTCATAACTATGTTTGGTTTTTGAATATCTTCAAGTTGCATTTCTGCCTTCTCAGCTTTAATATAGTGGGGGGGGGGCGGTTTCAGCTTGTGTTAGGCTTTTGCTGTTTTATTCACTCTATTAAATCTGTTGCTGATTTTTAGGTATAGTAGCAGCATATTGTGGAGTGTAATAGATAGCTGGTTTTATCTGCAAAACATTTAGCTCTCAACATGCTTTTGAGTTTGCTGCTATAGCAGGTTGTGGCTAGACTTTCTGTTCCTTTGGGGAATGATGAGGGACTCCAGATTGAGCCATAGCAGGGTTGTATCTGGCCCAGGTGACTCGCTGGATTTCCTTTTCACGGTTACTCCAAGAGGCCTTGCTCATCTGGTCTCCCCAGGTGTCATACTGTGATGGAGGAGGAAAAGGGATGGAGGGAGAGGATATCAGTTTGGTTCCTTGAAGTTCTGGGTTGCCCTCTAGGCAAGAATAGGATAAAACGTAGATGCTTGCAAGGAGGTAATTCCCTTCAGGTCTGGTCAGCAAAACACTCTGGATTCTTCAGGATGAGAATATTTGTGGCTGTGGTAGTGGGGCCAGCTCTTGATATTATACACTACCTGCTTGAGGATATGTCCTCATGGGTGAGTGGTCCC